ACACACACACACACACACACACACACACACACACACACACACACACACACACACAACAATACAAAAAAAACTAATAGTAAAAATCTATCTGGTTGTAATCTTTTTGCATCGTATTTGTTTCGTGTGTATTTATGTATTTTTAACATATTTATATTCTTAATACGTAATTTCTTATTTTAATGCCCTGACAATTAAAAATTCCTAAATAAATTACCCGCCTAAATATTTTCGTTAAAATTGCTTAAAACAAACGGGAAAAATAAGACTTTGTCATTTCGAGATCATTTCGAGATTGATCACAGAATTTTTCATACACATTTTGTTTCTATAATACTATAATGATTATTGCGTTTCAAGCACAATTCTGGATTTCCTAATTCTGTAGTCGGTAAAGATGAATTCAATGGAAGAAAGTACTGTTATTAGGTATTGCTCATTCATGAAATTTCTGTACTGGTTTTTCCTTTATCATCACTAGCTGGCGCCACACACCCGTTATGTAATTACCAACCAGTTGATATGAATCAAGAGTGTTGATCAGTGTTGGTTGTGTGATATTACTTGTAATAAATAGACACAAGACAAAAGAGCAATGTTTACGTAAGTAAACAAACTTGAGACAAATTATTATAATTATTTGAATGATAGGAACGATATACGAGGCAGTGTTATTGACTTTTATTCCAAGAACAAGTTAGCTCTAACCTATACATTGATACTCAAGACTTACGAAATTTAATTTTTAGCTGCAACGTGATAACTAAACTGACTGGTGCACCTATTTTCTTAAATTTCGTACGTCATATTCATAGACGTAGAATTAAATGGAAAGATGCACAGGGTAAATTGGAAGGGGTAAAATATGGGCATGTTACATTTTTTCCAAGGTACGTGAGGTTATATTACATCATATCTATTCTAATTTTTTCGAAATTCCGCTCATGAGTTACAATAAAATACAATATATTTACCACGAAGAAATTCTCAATCCTTCAAATTGTAAATCTTTTGAATTATAAATTTATTTTTTACATTTTTTATAAATTAAAACATTTTTGAATTTTTAACATTCAAAACAATTCCTTCCATTTTTATGTAACTAAAGATAAACAAGACAAAAACAGTATTTAATAATTTGTCAAAATTTAAAGATTTGTCAATCTTTAAAGATTTAAAGAAATTTTTCTTTAAACATTGAATTCTGAAAAATTGTTAAATACTGAGAAAAATATATCTTGAACTCTGAAAGAATTGAATGACAACTCACACTTAGTAAATCTCACAATTGCTACTTCTGGTCTCAAAATTACATTTGTAGACGTCCAGATCATGTTGATCCATCATTTGAGCCGAGCAAGCTGTTATTAGTAACACGGGTAAAGCCTTTTGCAGGTAATCCATGGTGGGAGAAAAGGGTGCTCGAAAATTTAGGTTTCGAAGATAAGGTAGCCAAAGTTGTATGCATAAAGCATAGGATAGTGTTTGACAAACTCTTTATTCGCTTAATCGTTTTTTACAGAAACACGGAAATCTTCTAGTGATCGTAAAAAACACGCCAGATATGTGTGCCATGCTCTGGAAAGTAAAGCATTTGGTAAAGATCGTTCCCATAAAGTTACCCGACAAATTGCCAACCACGGACGATCTAAATGGCACATATTTACACGAGAATGGCACATTTTATGTTGTACCGAAAGTAGAACCTATTCGCGAAGAAGCTGTGGAACAGTTTATGAACAATCCAAAGAAGCTGAATCGTGATATTATACAAGAAAAACTGAGACTTAAGTGGTTAGAGGGAAATTTGATGTAATAGATACTTGAATTAAATATAATAAAATTAAATATTTGTTAATAAGTCATTGATATGTTAATCTATCAATGGAGGAACCTTCAAAATAATCCTTTGATAGGTAATCCTCGATTAAAATTCTCTTCCTGAGAAAAAACTTTCAAATTACCCTGTATAGTACAGTCAGAAGAAATTTACAGTCAGTCAGAAGCAGTTGTGTGTATGAAGAATATGTAAAAATAATATTCATGAAAGACAATTTTGCACTTTAAGAGATACGAAGGAAACGATTGAACAAATAATATAGTTTTATTTATATTTTTCATATGCGGTCAATCGACCAGTTTACAATCTACTAACAGTAAAATGTTAAAATTTTAGTGTTTTAGTTAATTCTTAGTCTGTTTAAAGCGTCCCACGTTCTTAGATTGCATAAAATTTTCAATTCATTTAAATCTTAACTTTATCAAATTGATTTTAATACTTCATGAAATATATTTAAAACTGAAAATTAATATTAAATTAAGATAATGTCTCTTTGATAAACTCTCGCTAAAATATATATGACTAATGAGATTTCAATTTTAAAATCTATGACTATATGCATCCAATGAATTTGTGGAACTCTTCGCAGACCAGGAGCAAGATTTATAAGATGCCCTGCAATAAGATTTATTATCTTAATCATAGGTTTTTCGATTCACTTTTAGTCAAAATGTTCAAATATAAATATTAGGTTCCGATTTACAATATATAATCTTACGTTCAATTAAATTAGGATTAAATTTAGGACTCATTATTAGATTGTTATTGCATAATAACGACTGCAATATAATAATAAACTTGAATTTAATATATCTTAATTTATTAATATAATAATAAATTAAATTTAATATTATTATATTACAGCCGTTCCGAGTAATTCGTATTTATTTATCTCCTTGACATAAAGTAGCCTCAATACCTTACGTAAGATATCAGCAGCTTGTTGCGGGACACCTAGTATAATAAGTGGAAGATAAATGCCGCTTTGGGTCAGTCGTGCGGACCTACTTAGATACAGTGTTCCAAAAAAAGAGTCGAAATTCAGAAGAAGTCTATATTCACGAGCGAAACTCGCCGATTCCAACTCAAACTGCCGATCAGCTCAAATGATCCGGAAACGATCCGCTAGGCCGTACCCAGAATGTCCTGTCGCGAGATTTAGCAAGCTTACTAATAGCGCAATTCTGAAACTGTACTCAACTAATCCTGGAGTTGCATTTCCGTTGTCACTGATAGAGGACCAACTGTAACTTTTATTCCCTTGCGGTACTAAGAAGTGAACTAGATTGAAACTGCAGTTAAACCTAATGTCAACTATTCGTAATCACTACTACCACTCTATGAAAACAACTTCGGCCTCGTACATGCTCGAGCAGAATTCAAAAAGTCTCGAATAAATACGAATGTTTTGGAAGTCCTAGTAACGGAGAGATAATGATTGCCGTTCTCTTTCGATTTTCCCCGTTCACCGCGATCTCTTTCCGTTTTAATACACGATTTCCTGAGCTATGATTTACTCGTGTGTCAAATCTTATTAATTCCTCGCAGTGTCATCTTTAAATGTAATCATTTCTAATCGTCCTCTATGCTATCACAGTAATTATTATATACTTCAGTATACTAATACATTTTAATATATTATCTAATGTTTTTTTAAGCTAACACGCGACTTACGAATTTACCGTTTTGTATCAAGATAACTGTTAATGTTATATTTTATTTGCAATTAATAATTTTAATGCTAAATAGTTATCTCGTAACGATTTCAAAACACGATACTCTCGATAGTCTTCAGTTTTTCGCATAGAGCGACATGATCTTTTTTATATATTCGACAGCAACGAGCGTGACGCACGAGTAAAGCATCACCCACACGACGACTCTTATGTATGAGTTTACGCGGAACTGGTTCGTCTCCGATTGCGCAATTTCCAGAACCGTCTGTCCCTTGACGTATGATGAATCGAGATTGTGTTCTGCGTCGACCTGGCGCCGCCCTTTTCCGGCATATACATCCTCAGTAGTCGCGCTGCCCTCTCCTCTTGCGATCTGTCTGCTGCTTTTCCGCTCAGAAAACTCAGTAGCTTCATGCTCCGTCTTTTTAGCCTCAGTCTGTTCAGAAAATTTGTCTCGCCAGCGCTGGACGGACTCCCTCTCTCATTCTGATCGTCAAACTCTTCCTCGAACCTCTTTGACCTCCTTAGTTGATCGGTCCTTTTACTTCTGTGTCTTCTTTTGTCGCTCACCTCGGCGGAGTCTTCTCTCCGCATCGCTTCCCGCCTCTTCTCGGCGTTCATCTCCTCGACATTACGAGAATTGGTCTCCTCCGCTCTTCTCGCGACGGATTCCAGCTCTTTCAGACGTTCGGCTTCCTTGGAACTCTTTGAATTGGGTGAACCGGCCGTTTCCGACGCTGCGTCCACGTCTGACAATTTGCGATGCAAATCGACGATCTTCCGACGGAATTCCTCGTCCTCCTGGCTCAGCTTAGCGAAGACGCGGTCGCGCTCGTCCACATTCCCACCGACGCTCGACTTGGACGTCGCTTGAAACCGCTGTCACCACCATCCGACCTGGTGCTTACCGCTGCCAGGCGAGTCCTCCTCTTCCGGCAGCGGCTCCAGCCGTCTCCTGCCCAGGAAACAGCGCAACGAGCCCAAACTACCGCTGCTGCCCAGTAACTGGTCCATGCTCAGCTCCGGCAACGAGCAATCCTCATTCTCTGATTCCTGATCGGCATCGTCCTCCGCTGACAGATTTAGGCCGTAATTGTCCTCACCGATGGCACCGGCACCCATCGCGCCACCGCTGCTGCTGCAGCCGTTCGGCGGCGGCTAGGGAAGTCAGGCACAGCTCGGGCTAGTGATTCTTTGCAAAAAGAAAAACAGAAGGCAAGCGTCGTCATGCAGGCAAGCGTGCGAAGCTTATTCTATCTTCTTTTTATCGCTGCATTCCTGCGTTACACACGCCTATACCGAGGATGAAAAGGCCCCTGATTTAATGTAATAACGTTCGCGATCCCATATTCAGTGCTAAGTGCGACCATTTGATTCTGTGGTTTTATGTATCTCAAGTGAAACAGTCGCAATTAGACAAATATTGGGGCAATAGGTACGACGACTTGTAGTTTAGAATACTGTCGCAAAAATTTCATCAAATTAATTCTATGAATTAATTCCATGAATTAAAAAATAAAAAACTACTTGCCATGGTATTGTACATTAAATTTCGTACAAATCGTTCTCAAAGTAAATGCAATTTGTTTAATGCAGAGTGCAAGTTAAATGAGTTAATGCTTCGGAACTAGATGCTATTTTCAAGCAAGCTTATGTGAAAATAGTCATACTCATCCGTATCAAGTGATCATTATTTATTTACGCAATGCAATATAGACTATAATTTATAATGCACACTGTAATAAGTTACTAAGTTTTTACTGAAAGCCGACGCGATGAAATATTTAGCCTTGAAATGTTTATAAATTGTATTACACTAAACTATTCTAAATAAACTAATACTGATTTCCTCTTTCATGAATTGGAGAATTTATTTCTAAGTTGTTTTAGATTTGTTGAAAAAAAATGAAACTTATAATATTCATTACATGTCTTGTAATACATAGGTCAATATATTCGTAGTCGATTTTTATATTTAGAACCATCTTAGGTATACGAGTAGTTTTAAGGTGTCAAAAACTAATCACAAAGCCATCTTGACATCTTAATACATTACTTAAGATGATCTTGAAATAAGAACTAATTATGAATTCTCCATTTCATGAAATAAGTATTTAATATATTTAGAAATAAGTTTGTCAATCGTGATCACTTGATAAAATCTTTCACATTGGGGCTTCATTGTGCTTCTAAACTATTTGGATATTAATATTGTGTATTATCGTTGAAAATATTATTACCGAATTGGCGCTGAAGCTTTCATCGTCCGGTCCGCCGGAAGTCGGCGTACCCCATATATCGTCACCGGAAGTCGCCCCGGACGTGGTACCTTCCTCGTCGTTTGGATCTAACGAGAACTCAGTTCGCTCCGGAGGTACTGGCGGTTGAAGAAGATAACCGCCGACACCTTCGCTGAGTTGCTCTAGCAAAACCATCTTGCTGACGACATAGCTGCTCGCTCGGGCAGTCCATGCTCTCAAGCCAGATGGTGGCGACTCCGTGTCCCGATTATCATCGTCTCCCTGCTCATCCAGCTCGTCATCTTGATCCAGGCTGCTCATTGTACCAAACCGTCTCAAAGCTCTGCGTGAGAACGATTGTTACGGACAGAAGAAATCAAAAAGTCGCTTTAATTTCATTAAATCTTCTTAAAGAGCTTCTTTCCGAAAATGATATTTTGTAATAATTTGTTTGTGATCATTTAAACAAATCTTGTTGAAAGACCGAATGAAAATGTAGCGTTTTATGATAATTTTCAGGTTATTGCGGTTTTTAGGAATTTAGATAATTATTAATCAATAAGTAATTATAATTGAGCTACGATAGGTTTCGTTGAATTTTAATATTGGCTAGACGTTCAGGATCAAACAAGTTTGACAATTTTTTTTTTATTTCGTTTCTCTTTTATTCTTAATAGCTAGAAAGAAATCTTGATATGTTTCTGATAATTACATATAAATTAACCAGATAAATAAGTATACAAAACAATTATAATTTATTATACCTGTAAGGAGGTTCCCCATCGCAATCGAGATCGTCCTCGCTGCCATCCTCGGTATTACCATCCGCAGGCGTATAACTAGGACTGTTACGTCCTGGGCTATCGTGCAATCCATTTCGCAATCTATGCCTTGTGCAGAGATCGGGGGTTGGTGGAAGTACCGAAATCTTTGGTGGCAATGGAGAAAACGGATCCCTTTGCAATGGCGGCGTAGGACAACCCAATCTGTAGTGGGCGATTATACAGAGTGATAAAAAAATATTTAGCATTTATATGATAAATAGTACACACCATACTGAGAAAAAAAGCCTTGG